CATAATTATGACGATATCCACTTTTGTTGTTACTCTATAGTTTTTTGCATGCATGCTTGGTTACAAGCGTACAAAGTACAATGATCTATGGTTAAAGTGGAGTAAGAGATAAGGTATCAAAAGCTCAGTGAGCAAGATTTTTTTTTTTTTCTCAAGTCTGGTTTGAATTATCTCTTTACCTTTTTCATTTTTCTTTTCTTTTCTCTTTTTGGTTATAGGAATTGGCGTTGTTTTCCTTTGTTCCTATTTGCTTTGTTTTTGGAGATCTTGTTATGCCGTCAATAGACTACTCTTGCTTGATTAATTGTTCAGTTCTCATGAATTACACATTTGTTTCACATGCAACAAAATGATTAATTTTCTGTTAAACCCTTTTTTCTAAATCTTGTTCATACTTAGTATTATCCCGCTTGGGAGATGCTATTGGGATCCCAGAAATGACGAATTAATTGTTAATTTTCCCCAAAGGAAACAAAAGGTGTCGATAACATCATATTAACGAGTGTAGATTAATCATCGAGATTTCTCTGGGTTTCTCTGCAGAAGAATTATAATGATAGTAGAACAAGTGTTAGTAAATATGTTCCGTATTTTTGTTAAGGTTATCTCATGTGTATAATGATTCCCTACCAGTCCCTTTAATGTTACTTTAATCAGTTTGTTTTCTGTTAGGACACTGATCATTTAAATTAAACTTGAGGAATTTTATAGTGTCTTTTTTATTTTACTGTATTATTGCTCATACCTTTTTTGCTCTTTTAGATTTTTTATCAATCTAATTGAAGATGACTCATTAATATTGAGCTTATTTTGCGTCTGTTGCTGATCCTTTTCATTCTTTTTTTTTAAAACTAATGTGATCACAATTTTGTGATGTAGGGAAGGATTCCTCTCCAAATTCGGTAATTCTCCTCATACTGAGGTGAATAGCTCTCAGTTTGATGTGTCTTTTAATGATGATAGTAGTGGCCAAAGAGATGAGCAATTTCAATCAAACAGTGAGATCGTGGTCACAGATGAAGACATGAATCAGCAGGAATCTAGCGTGCAAGTTGCTGAAGTAGAGGAGCCAGTTTTGGACAGTGAAGAAAATATCCGAGAAGTTTTGTCCAACATTGACCATGTTAGAGAGAATGATGTCACTAGAACCTGGGAGGAGAGTAATGCTAATGAACAGTCGCATCAAGCTGATGATATCAGTGGCAATGGACACGGAGAAGTTTTTCATGAATACGATGCGCGTAGAAGTGAGGCAAGTTACGTGAATGGGTTAGTTGGCAATACATATAATATGGAACAGAACACAAATGGAGAATATGTCAGTGAGCACCTTGAATTCAATTGGCAAGATGCTTCAGTTCAAGGAGATGATTTGCAAGAGTCGGTAATCGAATTTGAAGAAAGTGAGTGGCAACAGGTAACCAATGGTGCATTTAGTGACTGGATGAACCGTAGTGGAGAAGACGTGGGCATAAGTTGGGAAGCAAGCACTGCTAATCAGTGGTTTCAGGGAACTTCTGGTATTGAAATCCTGGAGCCAGATCAAATACAAGAATCGCAGGGGAACTGGCAAGGACAGGATTTGCAAGAGGCTATTGATAGTTGGATAGACCTGCCTTCTGGAGAGGAAAGTTCTATTCCAAGAATTGGTTCATTTAATTTCCCCGAAGATGAAAATGTTTACAGCATGGAACTTAGGGAGCTTTTCACCAGGTATATGACCTCGTCGCTTTTGACTTCGGGCCTTGATATACTTAAACTGTTTCTGAACCTTATTTTGTACTCCAGGAGACGCGTCTCTAGTCTTCTTCGAAGTGGTTTTCGTGCAAGTCTCGATCAAGTGTTGCAATCCCATGTGGAAAGGCAAGGTCATGCTTCTAGTAACTGGGAGCTAGATGATATATCTCCGCACTTAACCTATCAAGACCAGGGGCAGCTGAATGGTGATCAAAATGCTGCTCAATCAGATGGTGCTGAAGAAAATTTATTAATTTCCTCATCGTCACTTGTCTTTGCTTCTCAGCTACTTTGGGATGAAGAGTTTCGGGGTGCAAATAGGCCACTAAATTCTTGTCGATGCTTTGGAATTGTGAGCTCTCCCATCCTTAAATCTAGTACTGGGTTGTGAACTTGATTTATTAATTGTTCGCTTGATTGGAGATATGGAGTTATCCCTAGATAGAGTGGAATTATGAACTATTTTAATCATATTTGCTTCTTTTTTTTTAATTGTACTTTCAGATCTGACCATTGGAGGTTTGTTAAAAAACTAGATATATGTTCATTAAAGGGGAGAGGAAATCGATATACTTCTTAATTTTAGAACCATATAGCATTGAAAAAAACATAGTAGATGAAAGAATTTATCCAAATTAATGCAAGGTTTTATGACTTTTATATTCTTAGTTTCTAGGCATCAGTGTTGGGCATGAACATTTCTATCATTCAACGTGTCTTGCTTTTTTTCTGATTAAAGAATGAAATGGCACGTTACCGTACTTATGTAATCTTTAGTCTTGACTCTGGAGCATGGTCCATTCAATTTTGTAGCTTTTTGTTCCACGCCTCTAACTTGTAATATGTGGATCAGGACTGGGAGGTGATCAATGAGTTGAGGGTCGACATGGCTAGGATTCAACACAAGATGAACAACATGCAGAGCATGCTGGAATCATGCATGGACATGCAAATTGAGTTGCAGGGTTCAGTGCGGCAAGAGCTTTCTGCAGCTTTAAATCGATCAGTTGTTTCAACAGGTAAAGTCCCAAGATGTAAGTATTGATCTTCATGCTGTTTATAACGAGCTAAATTCTATTATAGTTTATAAAGAGAAATAATAGTGGGTCCTACGAAATGTGTGGATAATAATGACTAATAGTTATAAATACGTAATTTAGGCCCCCATTTGGTGGGGATTAAAATTAGATTTTTAATTGATTTTGATAAAAGTTGATGAAATGAGTGGTTGAAAAGTCGTGGACCTATAAAATATGTGACTAAAATTAATTATTGACTTTGACTTAAATTAAAATCTAGATTTTAATCGATACCAAACATGGGCTAAATTAATGTTTTGACTTTAATTGAATTTATAAACATAGGCATAGTGTCGAGTACTTTGTACCTAACATGCAAAACTAAAAGCATTGTCTGTCACTAATGCTTTTCGTGTTCTATTATGCTCGTTTCTCATCTCAAGTATATTTACCATCATTATATGCAGATACATGTTGGGGAAATATGCCTAGGGATGAATCTCGATGGGATCATGTGAGGAAAGGAGTTTGTTGCATATGTTGTGATAGGAAAATAGATTCCTTGCTCTACAGGTAAAAGTTGCATTGTTCTTACGAACCTACACAGTTGTTTCGATTTAGTAGTTAGATATTATTGTTATTTCGATTTTCTTAAAGGCAGCTTAGTCTTTTCCCTTGTTTAGGATTAGGATTTTGTTCATTTGTGATCTTACATTATATTCTCTTTATAGTCTTTTTCGTATGATTGAATTATAAGATTGCATCTTGTTTAACATGACATCAGAGCATTTTCTTTCTTAGCTTCTGAGCTTGGCAATGTGAAAGCATTTTAAACTCAACATCGCTTTTTGCAGTTTTTTTCTCATGAAGTCCGTCTTTCATTTATACAGGTGCGGGCACATGTGCAGCTGTTCTAAATGTGCAAATAACTTGGTCCAAGACAAGGGGAACTGTCCAATGTGTGATGCGCCAGTAGTTGAGGCAATCCAAGCTTACTTCATACAGTAATTGAAGAGGAAATGTAAATGGCTGAACTTGTGAAAAGAGAGAGAAGAATAAATAGGTGTATGAAAAAAGTATGAAGATAGAAGTTAAAATAAACCGGTTGCTATATAGATACAGTTATGGCTCCCAGATACTTTAGGTAAACTTTATCTCCTAATCAGTATTGTAGCGACCCATCTTACCCTTTACGAATTTCTTTCACGTCTCGCCGGATTCAAACTCAAGATATCTTTCTTATGAGAAATTTAAGTTGAATTTTGGTACCAATTGAATAGGACGCGAAAGATATTTGTGAGGGGTAAGATAGGCACATACCCAGGTCGTTACAAGTACGTATTCTCCAAAGCACTACTTCTTCATCATGAGTATTACTTTATAATGATTTCGATCTTGTATTAAATGAATGTGTTTTAAATGACAGGTAGCAACCTGAATATTTTGTTAAAATTGGAATAAGTTGTATCTATATTATTCCAGTCGATTTTGGCGCGAATTGATGGCTTATTAAAGTTGCAACTGATTCGTGCATTGTTGAGTGTAAGATTTGGTTCTCTGAGGCTTTGGTTGGTCGATTCTCTTTTGATGAGGGGCACCATTGTCAAAACTTCTTGATTCTATATTATCTGGTGGATCATTTTTTGAATGTTATTTTGGCTGAGTTTCTTGCAAGGGAATTGAACTTGCATTGTATAAACTATAAATTATGCTTCAAGTTTGGAATATTTATTATTTAAGTTAATTATTTTTGAATAATTTTGTATGACATGAAGAGCTCTTGAGACATTTTTCTACAACTTTTTGCTTCTCTTCTAATTTATTCACCATGATGGGATGACAAAATCCAACAATTAGCAAGTTTGCGAAGTTCAACAAGTACCTAGGTAGTATGTATCTTAATCAATCAGATATATTCATTTAAATAATTAAATCATATCATTCTGGTTCGTAATCACTTCTAATCGCACTATACACGCCATCCCATAAGTCCTCCTTGGACGTCTAACATAGACCACAGTCAAAATTGAATGTAATTATACTAGATATTAAATGCTATTTTGTGACATTCGTCAAAACCATTACTATTTCAAAATACACGAACTTTAGGAACACCACAAATTACTAACAACTTTTAAAATGAGTTTTGTGCCAGTAATCACAAAAAATAGATAGAAAACTACACCTATATATTTACACCAAATAAATAAAAATCAGCTACCCTGCACTGCAGCAACATGTGAATTAAACTCTCTCCTCGTCCCTCCACGGGGCAACATTATCCACCGTTGATCTCTCGCCAACCCCACTCACAAAATTGTCATTCATTTGCTTCTTCATATCCAAAGAAACCTCATCGACATTCTCGAACAGCTGAGAGGACCGACACAGAGGACAGGTCACGTGCGATGACAGCCACGTGTCTATACACTTCGGATGATACACGTGCTTGCAGTAGGGGATTATTTTCAAAATTTCTCTTTCCTCAAACTCGCTTAAACAGATTGTACATTCTTCAATCCTGTGCTTCGAGGCCACACGACAAGCTACCAAAGGTAATGATTTGATGGCAGAAGGATCAAGGCCCTTGCGGTTGTTGGGCGACGGCAGAGATGGGTTTCTCCGCCGGTGGTCAGCGGAGGAGGAGGCAGAATCGTCGGCGGTGAGGCGGCGGATGTAGAGTGAAAAAAAGGCCATGAAGAAGAGGGCTAGGAGTAGGACAAGGATTGTTAATGCCATAGAGATGTCGAGAGCGGATGAGGTGGGAGGAGAAACTGGTGCTTTTATGGTCGCTTTTGAGGGCCGGAAATTGGGATATGCGGTGGCAGAAGTTGAGAGGGTATTGCCTGAAGTGTCTGCGCCGCCATCTTCTTGGAAGAATCTTCTGACTAGAATGGTGGTGGCGTGCTTCGACTCCATAGTGTAAAAATCTAGAATTAGAGAGAATATTTAGGACGAGGAGGAGGTTGCAACTTGGAAGTACTGGGTAGTGGGTAGTGAACATTTCACTGTCATATATGTGGAGTCTTGGGCGTCTAATACTTGTCTGTGCATACGTGGAGTCCGCATGTAGGTGAGGGAGACGTGTAAGCAGTAAGCACTAAATCTGTTGAATTATATGATGCTTTCTGTGGGCAAAGCCGCAAAGGAATGGGGGATGTCAGATATGGATGGAAATTAAGCCCTGATTGGTGCTGTGGTCATTTTTTATGAAAAATATTATTTTAAATAATGAATTTTTAAAGAATGTGTAGTTAAAAAATACGAAATTTTTTTGACCGCACATTTTCCATCAAAATAATAATTCAAAATATATTTTGAACAAAAAGAGAGAATGACAAATTTCAAGAAATATGTAAATAATAATGAATATTAGCCTCGGTTTGACAACTATTATAATGAATTTATTGGAAAAAATGAATTTTGAAACCGTAATTTTTTTTACGAATGTGTGATTAAATTTAAATTTACAAGTAGAATATTTCAGTGTGAGGATGTGCGATTAAGAATGAATTTGTAAGAATTTTTTTTTTTTTTTTGTTTCAATGGGGGGCTTAATTATGAATTTATAGTTTGAATCTATAAACTCATTAACAAATGATCCATACTCGTTAAGTTAGAAAGAAACAATACTCAACTAACAAAGTAAAGCACTTACAATAACACGTAATTAAAAAAGAAAACGTGCTTGTTAATCTATACATAATCTACGTTCAGAAACACTAATCCAGTCTTCTAAGACTTACTAATTAATGCTTGGAGATGCTTGAAATGTAGTTGGTAACAGCTTTAGTCCCCTCAGCAATAGCATGTTTCCCAAGCTCTCCAGGCAATACCAACTTCACTGCCCCTTGAATCTCCCTCGACGAAAGGGTCGTCCGCCCACTAAACTTCAGTAGCCCTGCTGCCTCATTGGCTATCCTCTCGAACATATCCGACATCAAATTGTTGATAACAGTCATAGCCATTGATGAAAATCCCATATCAGGATGAACCTGTTTCATAACCCTAAATATATATCTCTTGTAACCTTCACCAGCTGCTCTTCCTATTTTCTTCTTCTTTTTCCCTTGCTCTTTTACTTGTGGGGATTTTCTTTTCTTCTCCTTTTGTGGGGTTTCAAGTTTTGGTGGCTGGGGGGTGGTTTCAGGCTCCGATGCTGGTTGTGTCTCGTCTTGATCTCTTTCTTCCGCCGGCTGCTTTGGTGGTGGTTCTTCGTTGTCTTGAACAGTAACTGACCTTATTACAGTCTCTTTCTCTGTTGGCGAAGTGACAACCTCCACATTTTCACTCTCTTTGGTTGATGAAGAAACCACCTCTACTTTTCCCTTCTCTTTCTCCGTGGAAGTAACCACCACCTGCACGGTTTCCTCCACCACTTTCTTGGCCGTGACCACCGTTTTCACCATCTTCCCAGGACGCTTCTTGGGTGCCATTTTTTCTTTGGATTTTCCCCCTCTCTTAAAAGTGCCCTATAAATACTTGAAGCTTGCAGTTGTGGAGCGTTCAAGAAGCTGGAACGTGTGACCACACGTGTCGAGATAATAGGGCTGCATGGCTACGTGGGTTAAAAGTAAAAGGTAAGAAAGATTGAACTGAATCTACTGCGTTTCAAAAAGCAGATAGATCTGATCGTCCGTTGGCAGACGTTGATCAACGAACCGCAGCGCTTCTAGACAATACTTTGCCAACTCATCGAATGCATTTGCCCACTTTGCTGTCAGTCAGGTAATAAACAATTAGTTCGACCGTGCAGTTGAAGCACTAATTTGCCGTTCAAAATTACAATCTTATCCCAGAAAGTTATATTACAAATAGAACAATATACAACCTCGTGAGAATTCCTACAAAAAAATGTGCCTTTACAACAGAACACGAAAAACTCTATGAACGGATTGATTCAATTTTTTCTAACACTTCCAACCTGGTCTTTCTTTTCCTACCTTTCATTGTTGCAACAAGGTTGATCAGCCCAACTATTTGATTTTTACTGTATTCCTGCAAATTCAATTATAAACAGAGCATTTAATATTTGAAAATGTCGATTGTAGTACAATGCATTTTCCTACCGGATGATCACGAGCCCAGCGGACATATTCGGTTTCCGGAAGGTAGTAAGCCAGTTGGAAAAAGAGAATATCAGTTAGTAATATAATAAATATATGTGAAACTAGAAAATATATTTTATTTCTGACCTTGATGAAAGTTTCGACCATCTGCAGTTTTGGTTTGAGACAAAATGCTTTAGGCGGTTAATTAAAACCTGAGAACGTGACACCTGGGTAAATCAAAATGGTCAAAAGCAATGTGGACAATGGAACAGTTCAGCAGGAGTAAAATGAAACCTGAAGATTCAGCGACATGAGAGCCCTTCCCTCATCAGTACATCTCCTCACCCTTGATAGACCCTCGATCAGAGTTTCAGCAACATTTTCAAGTCCATATTCTAAGAGGAGGTCTTGAACCTGGGATTACAGGCGGGACTAGTAAGTCATTGATGCATGTCAGCACAATATGATATCTTTCTGTATGTTAGTTTGCTTCATCAACATCCACTTCGCTAGCCAAACTCTTGAAAAAGTCCAAGCCAAAAATGTAAAATAGGTCTCAATACTTAACTGCATAAGATCCATTTCACGAGTGATGCTATATTTCTGTGGTTTTGTTGTCATTGCTATGGATCAAATATCTTTGAATCTTCCCGTAGATATATTGACGAATTGAGTGGAGTGTGAGTCAAAATGATTTATGCAGCTGATCAACGTTGTAGGGAATAACACTTAGCCCCTGTTGAGCCCTCATTCCTTAAAACTAACTCATTTTCAACTATGATTTCACGACCCACAACTTTTTTCAACTTTTCAACAACATATTTCACTAACTTTTATCAAAATCTATTAAAAGACTAATTTGTTATCCAAACCAAACAGTGGCTTAGTTTGTTGTCGTAATAGTCATAAAGATAAAACCCAGATGATCAGCTAAAGCTTGTAAGTTCGAAATAATTTTTTTAAAATAATTATAATGAGAAATACATCTATTGAATCCAGGCAGGCATTCTTTACAAGGCTTTAAAGATGTAAAGACAATATCAGCTTTGTTCTCAAAGGATGAGCTTTGCGCAATTTAAGAAAATTCATATTGAAACATAGTAAGGAAGGTTACGTGAAATAGTCTCACATCCCTCCCCCAAATCCCTCTGTTCTAAAGCAACTTTCGATGTTACAGGTGATCTACATTCTCATCTAAACTAATTAGAGTTCAAAATCCCCTCGCCTAAAAGTTGCTTGTGGATTGCAAACAATGTTAGCCAACGAACGTTGATTTGTTCTAAATGGTAATTAGAGTTTATTTTCAGTTTAAGTTTCGGTCAGTTAAAATCAATTAGATTATTTAAGAACTATCTGATGTCACAGACAACAATATGAGGTGTCGATGACGTGAAGGCCTTCCACGTTAGCCATCCTATTAAAAAAACTAACCAAATTTAATTCAGTGACTAAACTGAAACAAAAAGTGAAGTTCAGTCTTCAGTGACCATGTTGAAACAAAATAGTTTAGTGACCAACATAAAACTTTGGTATAAGTTGAGTGACTGCCAGTGTTTTTTCACCCTATCATTCGCACATGGAACCTGTGCACCAGCAATGGTATAAATTTACTGTACAAAATGATTTTGTGATAAAAATATCTGATGTCATTAATTTCAGACAGAAACTAACAATATTGAATTTACAGTCATTACCTCTTCTCGAATGCCTCCGTGAGCAAACCTTGTTTTGTATTGCTTAAATTCTCCCAACAATAAATCAACATATCTATTGACACAGAAATTACAAAAGTTATCGCCTGTTGGAAAAACAGAGCATACCATAAAGTTACAAGGTGACCGGAGGGGTGAAGCAAAATTCTGTTGCTAGACTTGGATATGAAGCACTATTTTTACAATCAGTCAAAAGGAGATGTCAAAATTTAATCTACTCTTGTTATGCAAAGAGTTGGGTTGAAGACAAATGTCAAATAAATAAATTTGTCACCTCAATAACGGTAGTGGCTCAAAGTGTAGTCAAAGCAAGCAACGGTCCTTAGTTAAAGCATCAGCACCGCCCATTTAATGAACTTGTGCACATATAAGGCTTTTTGGGGAAAAAAATTATTCTGGTAGCATATTAAAGACAATTAAAATATGTAAATCGATCACATCTAACACAGTTAAAATTTTTATATGTGATAGTAGAACAACGTCAAATACATTGCTTTGTTAATCACTTGAGAAGTGCAACATATGCCACAATTGTAGTTTTAATTTCTTTTTTCCCTTCATATTTGAAATTATTAGAAGTCTGTTTGGTACAAATTCTCATTTTCTACGGTAAATCAATTCTCATTTTCAACCACACATTCTTCAATAAAATAATATTTTCCATCACATCAATACTTTTTTCTTCTTTTTCAACCACATTCTTCTTTTTATGCAATAAAGCATATAAGTTATAGCAAGCATAACATCATATATCTCATATGATATATTCTCATCTCATGCATCAGAGCATATAAATCACGTAAATTCACATAATATATGCAATTATAATTTAAACTAATTAAGGGTGACGAGTCTACCTCAAATATCTCGAGTTGCGTGAAAAATGGAGCNTTAAGGGCTGAAATTGAACTTTTAAGAAAATCAAGGACTTAATTGAAAATCTATTAAAACTGAAAATGAAAGTTTAGGGCTGAAATAGTAACTTTTAGAAGTTATGGACTAAACTGTAAATCTATTAAAACTGAAATAAAAACTAAAAAGGCTAAAATAGACTTTTTATAAATTAGGGACTTAATTGAACATTTACTAAAACTGAAAATAAAATTTAGGGATTGAAATTTAAAATATTTAAAACTCTAGGATTTAAATAACACTTTCAAAAAATTTGGGGGCTAGGACTAAAATTTCTAAAAATCAAAAACAAATTTAAAATCAAAATATCAAATTTCTCTCTCTCTCTCTCACACACACACACTTGTACACAGAGAGAGAGAGAGCAACGGCGGGGGAAAGAAAATCAGCTCGTTCGATTCCAACCACCGACCTAACGGTCAGTGGCAACGCCACCGCCTAGTGGTGGCGTCGGCACGAGGTGGAGGTGGCATGGGTTTTAGGGAGCACGGTCGAAGACAACCGAGGCAAAAGGGGCTCGAGTTCTTGGGGTTTTCAGCTGGAAATGGGTTATAGACGAAGGTAAGGGTATGGATTTTCTATTCTCTTGTTTTTGTGGTTGATTGGTTGGATTTTTGGGGTCAAATGTTAGCTGTTCATGTGGGTGGTGTGTGGCCATTCGTGAAGGCTTGCAGGTGGTGGTACGTGGAGATAGTGATAGCTTCGGTTGTGCTGGGTTTGCATTTAGTGGTTCGATAAAATGGGTGTTTGCAGCTGGGTTTAGGCAGTGGAGGTTTGGGTGTTGGGTCTGCAGCTTAGGTGTTGGTGGTTTCTGCTGGACCGTTCGAAATGGTTGCAGCATATGTACTTGGCTGCAGCTTGTTTCGAAGCTTGGGTTGCTGGAGCTTGTGTGGTGGTTGTTTGGGTGGACTGTGGGGTTGCTTCAGGTGGTGGATGTTCTGCTAGGATTGGCAGTCGGTAATAGTGGTTTGCAGTTTGTATGGGTAGGAAATTGATGGTGGATTGAGCTTTGATTTGGGGTGTTGTTGACAAGTTTCATATTGATGCTAGAAATTGATGTTCTATCATCAACCATGACTTTCCAAAATGAGAGTGAAATGAATTTTCTTTCTTACCAAGAATGGCTACTGTAAATGTGAGGAGTTGAGGGAAATGAGATCAATAAAATAGTAAAATTTAGGGCACAAATCCCTAGATAGATAATTGGACCAAATAGTTGGACTGCAGGGATTTTTAAATTTGGGCCTAATGGATTGGGCCTAAATAATTAATACTTGGGCTAATAAGTAATTGGACCTAAACTATTGCCTAAATATTTAAAATGATACGAAATTCGATACTTTAAAATATTCGGGATGGAAATTGATTTGAATGGATTTAAATCGGTTTTATAACGACTAGACGAACACGCTTTCATTTTAACGTTTTGGGTTAAAATTTAGCTACAGGTTTTTCAAGATAATAATTTAAAATTCTCGGTCGCTACAATCTCACCCTCTTAAATTAATTTCGTCTTCGAAATTTAAACTTATTTGATCTAGAATATCTGGATACTTAGCCAAAATCTCGTCCTCTTTTTCCCTGGTAACTTCATCACTACCCTGTCTACCTTATTGGACTTTGACTAAAGGAACCTCTTTGTTTCTTAAAACATGGACTTTTCTTTCCACAATGCACATAGGCATCTCCTCATAAGACAGATTCCTTTGAATCGAAATAGTCTGAAAATTTACCACATGACTCGAGTTGTGGATATATTTCCT